ACCAGTTCTGTTCTTCAATTAACGTCTTTTTGATTCAGAGAAATTATAAACTCCGAGTAGGAATAAGACATATCCTAATGTTAATTGTGGGGAAATTTAAGCAGCTATACACACATTCCTAAATATGCAAAAGTATGCCAAAGATTTATGTAATATGGGGGCCAGAATACAGAAGGGAAAGCATTTGTTTTGCACATGGCCAACTCCAGTGAGATTCCCAGCACTGATATGGTTCCCTGAGCAACACAAGGAGTGACTACTGAGCACAGAGCAGGAGTAAACCCTAAGCACAGTAAACCCTAAGCACAAACCCCCTGCCCCCTAAAAAAAAAAAAAGTAAGATGCAAAGAATTGTTTTAATTTTTTTAAGTCAGAAAATGGTAGTCATTTCTTATTTCCACTAAAGCTTATAAGAGTATGAGAGCACTCTACTTTGTACTACACACTTACAACTCTGCACTTCCAGAGTGCATATGATAGCATCAACACACCTAGCACACAGTGAGAGAGACAGAACTTTTCGGAAATTTGGAGAAATCCCATGAATTCTATGTTGTCATCACTTTATAATAAGCATCACAAGTCAAAAAGGTGTTGATTATCAGTAAAGATCCTATTTGGATGTTAGGAGGCCTGGGGTTCTCTCCCGGGATCACAACTAAGCTGACAGGTGAGATCAGTCATTCACTTAAAATACAATCGAATGATGGCGGCTGGAGAGATGGTGTAGCAGGTAGGGCACATAGCCTTGCAGGAGGCCAGCCCAGCACCACAAATGGTTCCCAGAGCTTCCCAGGAGTGATCCTTAGTGCAGACCCAGGTGTAAGCCCTGAGTGCTGCCAGGTGTGGTCCAAAAACAATAAATCTGTTTTATGGGAAGGTACACAAAGTATCTCAATACAGTCAAAAGGAAGAACTTTTTCTTTCTGATTCTTCACTCAGAAGAAGGAAGGGAAAAGATATCAATCCCATTTTTCACGGGGCCAGAGCGATAGCATAGCGGGCAAGGTGTTTGCCTTGCACGCGGCCGACCCAGGTTCAATCCCCAGCATCCCATATGGTCCCCCGAGCACCGCCAGGAGTAATTAATTCCTGAGTGCAGAGCCAGGAGTGACCCCTGAGCATCACTGGGTGTGACCCAAAAGGCAAAAAAAAAAAAAAGATATCAATCCCATTTTTCAGGAAGTACTCTTGATATACGGGCTGGAGCGACAGCACAGTGGGTAGGGCATATGCCCTGCACGCAGCCAACCCAGGTTCGATTCCCAGCATCTCATATGGTCCCCTGAGCACCGCCAGGAGCAATTCCTGAGTGCATGAGCTAGGAGTAGCCTCTGTGCATTGCTGGGTGTAACCCAAAAAGAAAAAAAAAAGGAAAATGGCCGAAGAGTCAGATATAAAAACAAAGAATTGTGATCAACTCATTGGGGAAAAAAAAAGTATTCTAAGTTATGGAATCAAAGAGTACAATGGGTAGGGCTCTTGCCTTGCGCGGCCAACCCAGGTTTAATACCCATCATTCTATGTGGTATCCCAAGCCCCCCAGGAATAAGACCTTGAGCACCACCAGGTGTGTGTGGAAGGAAGAGGATGAGGATAAGGAGGAGGAGGAGGAGGAGAAGGTAGGGGAAGAGAAGGAGGAGGAGACTTGGCAAAACTAAGCCCATCAAATAATGCCTTTTGTATTCGACATAGGCCAGAATTGCTTCTCATCAACAGTGTCCTGAAATGTTACTGGAGAACCTGCTGTAGAATCAGTATCAAATATAACTGTTTCGCTATAAGTGAAAAATATATGTAAATACTAGTATTCAGAGTATTATTTCATTTCTCATTTAAAAAACGTTCTCACACCAAGACCCACTTATGTCCTTCACTATCACTTTGATTTATCACTTCTATGAGAATTGTGTATGAGATGTGAAAGGCAACAAACAAGATCTTAAATCTGAATGCAAAGTAACTAGATTCAGAGATGACTCAATGTGCTAAGCAAATACTCTGCATGTGGGAGGTCCAGGTTCAATCCCCAGCACCGCAGGTTCCCTGAGCACAATAAGGAGCAACCCCAGTACCGACAGAAGTGGTCAAAAACAAGATTTCCTCTTCCTACAGATTTAAATCATAACATAATTAGAAAGTACTTTTTGCTCACTTCAAAAACCTTTCATTTTGTCCAAAGTACCTTAAAGAAAAAGCAATTAAGTTGGAGTTAGTAAAAAACTAGAATCTTCACTCTTCAAAAGAAACTGTTAGGAATGAAAAGACAAATCACAAAGGAGATTCTTAGGGTTGGAGCAACAGTAAAGTGGGTCGGGCGCCTGCCTTGCATACGGCTGACCACATTCAATCCCCAGCATCCCATATGGCCTCATGAGCACCACCAAAATGATTTCTGTGTGCAGAGCCAGGATTAACCTCTGAGCATCATCAGATGTGGCCCAAAAACAAAAAAAAAACAGAACAAAAAAAGAAATAAAGAAAACAAAGGAGATTTTATAGGACACATATTCAACAAAGGATTTGCATTACATATATAAAGAAATCTAACAATTCAATAACACAACAATCCAGAAGCCAGGGAAATAGTTCAAAGGGCTGTAGCACACATCTGTTGGTCCTTAGGTGAGTGGTGTCCACAATGCCTGTTTCCCCACTCCAGGGGCAGCCCTAGTGGCCCCCAGCACCACATTACTGTAACGAATGAGCTACATATCACCAGAAATGGTCCTCTTTGAGCCCTCTGAGCACTGCTAGGGATGCCCAGCAATCTTCTTTAATTTAAATCCTTTTAAATAAATAAACCACCCAGTTGTAAGTAAAGGTTATGAACTGCAGTATAAAAGCAGTATACTACATGAATTGTAAAGAAGCACTGGAAAGTACTACAGTGCTTCTTTACAACATCAAATCACCCGAAGATAATACAGATGGCAACTGAACATGGGTTTGCACACCGTTCATGCAAACAAGAACATAATCACAGGGGTTCATTGATACACTATCTTGTAAACAGGTAATATAAACTTGCAACATTAATAAATATGAAACAGTACTTTCAGTACATTTTCTCTTCCTTATGTCTTTCTTAATACCTTTTCCTTTTTTCTAGTTTCCTTTATGGTAAGGATATAGAATATAGGTCAGAGAGATGGCTCAATGGGCTGAGGGCATGCTGGTTCAATCCCCAGCACTGCACGATGCCCTGGCACTGCATGGAGTAGCCCCCAGAGCAAAGGCTATAAATACATAACACATCTAACCTACAATATGTTTAACGAACTGCTTATTTTAAAACTCAACAACAAACTATTAACAGTTAAGTGTTGGGTAAGTCCAAGTCATACTATTTTGGACAAGGGATCAGAGCTTCTAATTGTACTTAGACTGTCATACATTAGAGTGACCAGTGCTCACTATTACAGTGGCTAAAATCCTAAAACCTGATTATCTTAGGTGTTAGGATGTGGAGCAAATATAACTCTTTACACACTGATGACGGGGATGTAAAATGTCACCATTTTGCTAGAAATCTTTAGATTCTTAAAAGGTCAAATATATACCCACTGTATTACCTAGTCCTCTCCTAGACACCTACACAAAAGGGGCTGGAGTGATTGTACAGGAGGTAGGCGACTCGCCTCGCACACCATCGGCCCTTTAATCTCCTCAGAACCCCTGTAGTACACTTGGTCCCCCAGATACTGCCAGGGGTCACTGATAAGCACTCAGCCAGTCAAGTCGCCAAGCAACACCAGGTGTGGCCCAAACTCTGCCCACAAAAGAATGAAATTTCCACATGTGGAAGCATAAGTGTATACAAACATCTTTTTTGTTCTGTTTTTGGGGGGTCACACCCAACGAGGCTCAGGAATCACTCCAGGAGGTGCTCCGAGATTGAACCCTAGTCAGCAGAATGCAAGGCAAGAGCCCTACCCACTGTGTATCCCTCCAGCCCCGAGTGTATATAAATAGTTTGCAACCAATTCATATACATAGACTAAAGATTCCAAACAACACAAATGACCCTGGTCATGTGAATAAAACTAGTCCCGGCACAATGGAATACTACTTAGCAATAAAAAGGCATGAACTACTTCCAAGCACCCAAACATGATCTCAACAATGCCATTCTGCGTGGAGAAAAAAAGAAGAAAAAAAGCTAGATACCCCACAGGGGGGAAAAAATGCAAACTAGTCTCGAAGGCGGAGTCTGCCCACAGAGAATGGGACTGCAAAGGTGCGGGAGAGAATGCACACACTAAGGGAACAGCTGCGTTCACTGTCTTGACCGTGGCGATAGTTCTGGGGGTGTTTTCGGGTCTTTCCATGTGCCTCTATTTCTATCAAAGTGTAGACTTCAAAGTTTACTGCATGTCAAACTCCAGATGACAAAAAAAAAAAAAGCTATGCTAAGTCATTAGGGTGTACTGAGGCCACTGCGCCACAGCACGCCGGCAATGCTCAGGGTGCTCCTGACTGTGCTCAAGAATCACTCCTGGGGGGGGGGGGGGGCTCGAGGGGCGGTAGGGGGTGCGGGGATCGAACCCGCGTCCGCCGCGTGCAAGGCGAACGCTATAACGCAGAGAACCCTTTTCCCCAAAGGCAGCTTCCCCGCTGTTACCCGCATTTCACACTGACCGGGCCCTTCTCGGAGCCCCGGAAGGTCCCCGGACTTCTCACGGGGGTTCCGAGCACCCTCCTCCGCGGAATTACGGGTGCTCGGGGCTCTCGGCACAGGCGTCGGGGTCCACCTTCCCCTCGGCCTCGTGGGCACCGATGACGTGTCCCGCCGCCCACCGCGCTGGTCCCGGATCCCACGTTGTCGCCCACCCCTGCTGCACTGGACCGGGTACGTCTCGGTCCTAAACACACCAAAGGGACCGGAACCGCCGGAGCTGAGCCCCCACGCTCATGCCCACCCCGGGGTCCTTACTGGGGAGGGGGGGAGGCTCGCACAAAGCCACTGCCCCGCGACCCCGACACTGCTCTCGGCTCACCTGCCACCGGCTGCCCGCGGCGCGGACAGTTTAGCCACCGAGGCGGGATCTTGTTGTGGGCCATGTCCTGGGGCCACGCAGAGCCGCTCCTCTCTCTCTCCCTCTCTCTCTCTCTCTCCACCAACACCCGCCGCGCGGCCGCCGCCGCCCCGAGGCCGGCTGGGCACTGAAGGCCCCAAACACCCAGAGACCAGCCCGGGTCTCGGTCCCCGCCGCTCCGGATCAAGTAACGTCAGAGAAGGCGCGCCACTTTCATTCAGGCTCAACTCCGCCGCTCCAGGCGAGCCCACAATGCACAGCTACTTCCGCCCCGAGGTCAGAGGGGAAGGGAAGCTCCGTGGAGGAGGTGGGGAAAAGCTAAGGCCCTGGCGAATGAGAAGAGCGAATTTTCTCGGGCCCCGCCCCGTGAGAGAGAGCCCCGCCCCGGGAAAGCCCCGCCCCGTGAGAGAGCCCCGCCCCAGGAAAGCCCCGCCCCGCCCCGTGAAAAGTCGGGGGGCGAGGCTAAAATCAGCTCTGCGCAAGCGCAGTAGCCCTCCAAACTGGCCCGCCGGGCTACGTCTGTTTTTTCTACTTTTTTCTGTCTGTTAATTTCGAAAGCGCAGAGATGAAACCGAGCCTAGCTTCTTTCTGCGCGTAGACTGGTTCGTAGCTATCATGAAAGGAGGCTGTTTTAATGATAAAAAGGAGCCTTCTTCACCTTTCACAATTTAAGAGTCTGGTCACCCCTTCTTCAGCCAAGTTTGGCCTCCTGGCCAGGTCTGGGTTTGATTTGGAATTTAGGAGGTTCTTTCTGACTTGTATCAGGGAACAATTTTTAAAGAAATCATAAGGGCAAAAGATTGATGTGCCAGAAATGTGCAAATTTTTTTTTCGGCATATGCTTCTAAGGATCCTAAAATTAATCCCAAAGGGTTTTTTTTTAAGAGTTTGTGTATTTCTGTAGCCAAGCTGTATTTCTGTAGCCTAGTAAGTATATAGGGCCAGAGGGATAGTACAGGGCGTTTGGCGTTTGCCTTGCAATCAGCTGACCTAGGTTTAATCCCCAGGACTCCATATGGTCTCCCAAACCCCACCAGGAGTGATCTCTTCATGCAAGTCCAGGAGTAAGCCATAAACACCCAGGTAGTACCCCCTCAAAAAAAAAAAAACTACATATATCTGGTGTGTCTTATGAGACACCCATGTCTCAAAATTGCTTATTAACATGTCATTGACAAAGGCGAGAACTGTCTGTCCCCTGCAGTACTTCTAAGTGGAGATGTTTTTTGCTTTCCCAAGCTAGGTATCTTTTCCTACCAGTTAAATAGAGATGATTGGAAGCAATTTATAAACACTATCCTCTAATATTTCTTAGTTCCCAGTCCAAGTTAGCAAATTAGCATATTCAATAGAAAGCTGGTTATCTGCCTTGCAAGTGAAAGGCCTTGATTTCATGGGCTAAGTGCTGTCTCAAGCAATTTCCATTCGCATTGCAAGGTGTGTGTGAGCTCCTCAACAAAACAATGACACACACCCCTCCGCCATCGTCCCCCCCCGAAAGCCCCTTAGCACCAAAACTGAAAAAGATGTGCAAGAACCACAAACAGAAGTGTGACCCCCCTCATCAGTTCACGTGCTAGCTCTACAAATACCCTCCCCGCCTCCATAAGCACTACCAGTGTGTACAGACACCACACAGAAGAAAGGTATGCAAGGATTTTCTGAATTGACAGAAATTTTTATTCCTGTCTGTGTGTGTGTGTGTGTGTGTGTGTGTGTGTGTACGTGCACGCGCGCGCATCAGGCAAATGCGCAAGCCTCCCCCAACATGTATTTATGCCTCACTGAACTATTAGTTCATCTCGAACCTTGCTGTGGAGTTCAGTCTCCTGCCACTTGTGACTCCATCAATGGCCGAGAAAGAATCAAATCTTTCTGTTCTGATGAGTCAGGGATAGGTGGAAGGATCATCCTGTCTAACTTCCCCTACGCTGGTAAAATGCCATTAGCTTTGATGATCAGTTCCCATCTTTCCAGGATGGCAGAGACCAAGCTAGAGCTGTGATGCCAAGCTCCCTGTCGCATTCTGGTGACCCACACCCCCCCTGCCGGTGCTTTCTCAGCTTCACTAGGTGAGAGAAATTCAGGTCATTTTGCCTACATTTAGAGAAGGGAAGAGCTCCTGGAGCTGGTTCTCACATTCAGGTTCTGGATTTGTTTTGTTTTTGTGGCGCAATCCTAAAGAAGTTCTAATTTGCTCCTAGGCCACTTGTCCATCCGTTAATCTGTGTAGGATAGCAGTGAGCACAGTAGGACTGGGGACGGGGGGGGGGGGGGAGGGAGGGTGCTCTAAAGATGAATAAACACATGGTTTCCGCATCTTAGGGATTTAGTTCAAGTGTGGGGTTCAACAAGCAAGCTAAAGAGCACAAGAAAATACAATAAAAAGGCTGATAATTGTGTTAGCCTTTTTCATGACCATGACCTTAGATGCTTGAATTGAAGAATATAATACAACAATGTTTTTCCTTCTAATTTGTGAATGGGCCAGAATATTAGAAACTGGTACCTGTGACCTTATGTTTGTCCCAGTCTTGCATATTGTATAACAGAAACAAAAAAATTTGTGCTGCATTTGACTTGTTGGAAGGAAATTAAATAGTAAGTCAAAGGAGTAGAATGTTTGAGCTGATTTGAAGAATTGGCTAGAACTGGCAAGAGGAGAACCAGTAAGTACAAGGAGTGGTGGCATGAAAGTACTTGGTTAACACTAGAAATGGCTGCCCTGGCTTGCACTTGTAGTGTGTGCAAATGTCTTTTTAAAACCTGAATTAAGGGGCTGGAGCTATAGCACAGCGGGTAGGGTGTTTGACTTGCACGTGGCCGACCCAGGTTCGATCCCCAGCATCCCATATGGTCCCCGAGCACCACCAGGAGTAAGTAATTCCTGAGTGCAGAGCCCTGTGCATCGTTGGGTATGACCCAAAAAGCATAGGCCTATTATGGGACTGTGTCCACCACAAGAAAAAAAATTATATTTGAAGATCTAATCCTCGTTAGGCGCTTAGAATGTGATCTTATTTGGAAATGGGGTCTTTATAGAGGCAATTAGACTACAGTTAAGTGATTCAGTGGGCCCTAATTGAATATGATTGGTGTCATGAGAAGGGAAACTGAAAATCTGGTCATGCACAGAGGGAATAGGAGGTGGAAACACCTGGGGAGAATGAAGCCCTGTGATTCGATGACACCTCTCTGCAAGAATACCAAGGATTGCTCCAGATTCTACTCTAATTAAGATGGTCTGAAACTTTCAGGCCATGACCAAAATCTCTAAGCCTATCGTTTTTATTGTGTTTTGTTTTGAGGCCACACCTGGCAGTTGTCAGGTCTTACTCCCTGTCTCTGCATTCAGGAATTACTCCTACTGCTACCCCAGGGGAACATTTGAAAAGCAGAAAATTTAACCCGGGTCTTCGTGTGCAAGGCAAATGCCCTATCAACGGTTTTATTGCTTGGGTCCCTGTTAGTCTATAACTTAAAGTGTAGCTAATAGCCTCAAGTTTTTATACATTGACAACTCCAATAATAATAATAATAATAATAATGACTGGGTCATAGCAACAGTACAGCAGGTAGAGCAATTTGTATTGTAATGGTTAACCCATGTTCAATTCTGGGCATTCCATGAGTCCCCCAACACACGGCCAAGAATAATTCCTTAGTGCAGAACCAGGAGTAACCCCTGAGCGTCGCCAGTCGTACCCTCCTCCCCTAAAGGTGAAGTCTGGAGAAGATATGAAAAGATTGTACAATGAGTAGGGTACTTACCTTGCATGCAGCTGACCCGGTTCTATCTCCAGCATCCCATATGGTCCCCCAAGCACCTCCAGGAGTAATTCCTGAGCGCAGAGCCAGGAGGAACCCCTGAACATTGCTAGATGTGGCCCAAAATCAAAACTTTTTAAATAATTTTAAAATGTTAATATTCAGCAATCTTTTGGGAATGAACGCTGGATGGATTTACACTCTAAAAACTAGAATTCCCCATAAACTCTCTGAAACTCAAAACTTTATGTGTATGTATATATGTGCATCTGTGACCACAAGATGGAGCTAGAAACCAAATAACAGAACCTCTATGGCTATGAAAGTGGGTCGTGGAGGCAAGTTCTTTAATTTCGTGGGTGCCTACTAGGACAGAAAGTTGAATTTAACCCAGGCTCACCAAATTCATCACAAAGGAGAGGCTAACCTACAGGATGATTGACAACTGACTTATTTAAACCACAGCAGGATGCTCCTGGTATACTACTTAGATAGATTTATTTCCTGGGAAAGATGAAAGATGAAAAGGAAATAACTGCTTTCTAAAACTACTAGAGCATGAAGGCTTGGAGATATAGCTGTGCACATTTGTGTGCCATGAAAACTATGTCTCCTATTTAAAATCCATGGAACAGGGCCAGAGATATGGTACCAAGAACTAGTGGGCATGCATGAAATATGGGAGGCCCAGGTTCCATCTCGGTTTGATCTTGGTTTTTGGTGTTTTGTTTGTTGTTGGGGTTTTGGTTGGTTTTTTTTGTTTGTTTGTTTTTTTGGTTTTTTTTTTTTTTTGCTTTTTGGGTAACACCTGGTGATGCTCAGGGGTTACTCCTGGTTCTTCACTCATGAATTACTCCTGGCAGTGCTCAGGGGACCATGTGGGATGCATGCAGGATATTGAATCCAGGTTGGCCGAGTGCAAGGCAAACACCCTACCCACTGTACTATCACTTTGGTTTTATCTTGAGAGGGAAAATCACCCTTCAAGTTTTGATATTTTTTTCTTTAATATATTAATAATGGATCAATGACCCCACTCCCCCACAATGCAGTATGCCTTAAACTCAGCACATTCGCTCCCGTGAAGAATTTGCTAAAACAGGTTTTGATTCAGTAAGTTTAGGGTGAGCACAACATTCTTCCTTCTCAACAGGCTCTCTTGCACCTGATTGGAAACTAATCACTAAAATCTTCAAGGGAAAAGTAAAGTAAAAGTAAAGGCCCTCCCGTTGATCATCAATTTGCTCAAGCGGGCCCAGTAACATCTCCATTGGAGACTTTGTTGTTACTGTGTCTGGCATATCGAATACTCTCGGTAGCTTGCCGGGCTCTCCGAGAGGGGCAGAGGAATCAAACTCGGGTCGGCCATGTTGCCTGCGTGTAAGGCAAATGCCCTACCCACTGTGCTATCGCTCCAGCCAAGGGAAAATAAGTCTCAAAACTTGAGAGTGAGGGGGCCAAAGCTATAGAAGAGTGA